CAAAACACCCAGATGCTTCAGGCCATCATGAGTTGGCTGCAGCAGAAGAGCAGAAGCCAGTGTTCAAGCAGCACATTCCTGCCAACACCAAGGTCATGCTGATCAGTGACATTGGTGAGCTGGGAAGCTGGTGTGGGAGTTCAGGGGGAGGGACTTTGTGGGTATGAGGTGGTGGGGGAGAGAGAGGGAAGGTGTGTGGGACTCGCAGAAGGAAGTTACTATATTGCTGAAACAGGTGCTCTAACAAACCACAGCCAAATCATGGAGAAGCAAGAACTTCAGAAATTTTCCTGAAGCGCAAGTTCTTGTTACAGCTTTGGGATCGTCAGGGATGCTACCTGATGGAAACCAGAACAGTGTTTTCTGAATTCTGGCTGTCTTGGGGCTACGAAAGCTTGAGAGACCCCATCTATCTCCTTGTATTCCCTACAGATGGAGATGGGAAGTGTGAGTTGGTGGTGGGTTACACTGACAGGGTGGTACGTGCCTTCCGCTGGGAAGACTTGTCGGAGAATTCGGACCATGTCTCTGGGCAGCTCCTCCTGCTGCAAAAATGGCTGCTAGAAGGTCAGGTAAGGAAACAGGATGTTCAGAGCAGAACTTGTCATACAGAGCCACCTCTCCCAAGGGAAACAGCACAAAATCTCTGTCTGATGAACAAAGCAATTGTCACGTTGATGACTTGAAAGGACATTTGCCCAGTAGTTGTCCTATACATGTGGAGCAGCTGGTGGGTTGGTCTGGGAAACAGTCTCTTGCTCTCACCCAGCTAGAGAGCTGTAATGGAAATACTAGTGTTTTTTTATGTGGCTTTTGGCAGCGAAACATAACCTTTTACAGTAACTTGGACGTTCAGCTTCCGCTCAGCTCTGTCAGAAGATCTGCCATGTTCAAGTTTAGGTACAAGGAGCACAGCGAACCCTTCTGAGGTGTTTAAAGTTCTTAGTTCAAGAGAGCTCTCCATGGTTTTCCTCTGCCAGTACAGGTGGACAGTCTGTCTGTGAACCCAGGCCCTGACGGTTCACCGGAGATGATGGTGTCTCAGCCGGGCTGCGGTTACGCCATTCTGCTCTGCACCTGGGACTCTGAGCAGCAGGCCACGACGGAGGGAACCGACAACTCTGCCCCAAGCAGGTGAAGAGCGTTGCTGCACGGGGTGGATGAGGAGAGTCTGCTGTAGATGCCCGTCACAAGGGGACACCACCACAGCACCTTTCTGAGTGGGGTGAGGGTGGCAGGGGCGGCTGGGGGCTGTCTTGTCCTTGCTTCACTGACCTTCTGTGCTGCTGGGAGTTGTTGACTTAAGCCCACCTACATCTAAGCTTCTATGAACAGTCATCATGTCTCTATCGCGGAAACAAATACTGCTGCTTTCCTTGTGTCCCACTCTCCTTGGGGTGGGCAAGGAGAGTGGCAAAACCAGTGAGGGGGGCATTACTGGGGGTAAGGCAGGGAAATGAATGACCTAGATCTCCAGAGAAAGGTCACCAGATTGCCTACTATTCTAATGGTGGGTAGGGTAGCACCTGAAAGGGTGAGCCAAGGCCAGTGTTGTGGTTTAACCCCAGTCAGCAGCTAAGCACCACGCAGCTACTCGCGTGCGTGCGCACACTGGGGTGGGGAGAGGATCGGAGGAAGAAAGGGAAGAGGGGGTTGAGATAAGAACAGTTTAATAATTGAAATACTACTACTGCCAATAATAATACATAACGAAAACAACGCAAAAAAGGGAGAGAGGCAAAGCCCAAGGAGGGAAAAAACCCCAAGTGATGCAACTGTTTACCACCTGCTGACTGACACCCATCCAGTCCCCAAGCAGCGGTTTCACCCTCCTCTTGACCAACTTCCCCCAGCTTATATGGTGAGCCTGAGTCCTTATGGCATTAAATATCCCTTTGGTCAGTTTTGGTGGCTGTGGTACCTCCAGAAGAGGGGAGGTATGAGAAACTGAAAAAGCCCTTGGCTTCATGTAAATATTGCTTGGCAACAACTAAAACATCAGTGTTACTGACATTCTTCTCAGGACAAATCCAAAACATAGCCTCACACTAGTTACTGTGAAGAAAGTTAACTCTATCCCAGCCAAAACCAGCACACATGGTTAGTCTGAAGCCCAGGATGACACTTTGGGTTCATTCACTCGTTTCTTCCAGGTGAGGTAATCAGAGGTTTTCCTAATGAGACCTCTGGCAGCCAGTGCTGTAAATCACAGCCAGAGGAATCAGGATGAGCAGTAAGCCTCTTGTGCTTGGCACTGTGAGGAATTCAGGTGCTTTTGTGGTGTTCTGTGAGACTTTAAGGCAGACCCAGAAAACTGCAGCAGGTGGGGAGATAGCCAAGTCTCCTTGAGGTCTTGGGGACGTTCGTGGAATGGTAGCCTCCTAGCCAGAAACCAGGCCCAGGCATGCTCTCTCACCAACCTGTTCAACTCTGGGCAGGCACTTCTTGAGTGAAAAGCAGCCAGGCTTATGTGACAGTAATGACAAAAATTGTCTTTTTTTTTTTTTTTTCCCTTGAATATGTTTTAGTGACTTTTTTTTTTAAGCTGTTTCCAGTCTTCTGATGCATCAAATCATTGTGGTTTTGTTTTTTAAACACCAGAAAGTTCCTTTCATAGCCGGGGTGGCATGCATCTATTTCTTTGGCCTTTACCATTAAAGGGCTAACCTATGCACAAACTCTGTCAATCTCTGGAGCTTTGGAGTATGCCACTTGATTGTTCTGGCACAGTCCCAGGCATGGTTCCCTAACCTTTCCCTGATGTCTGTCTCTTAAAATAGCGAGGCCCCTATTCGAGATGTTATTCTACACCAAACATCTGGACGGATTCACAACAAGAATGTTTCCACCCATCTAATTGGTAGCATTGGCCGAGGTGAGAGAATTAGGAACTTGGTGTCTCTGGCTCAACAGTTGCTCCTGATAGTTTTTCAGTATGTCAGTCCAGCATGAAATCAGATTTTCTGTGGTTGAACACTAACAGTGGGAAGCAGCTGCAAGAACAGAGGGGCCTTGGCTACTGTTAGCCAGTTCCCAAAGAAAGACAGCTGGATATTTGCGCCTGGACTTTTTATAGCCTTTGTCCTTGCCTAGGTCGCTCTTACTCTTCACCTAGCACAGCCGTTTCGCTGCAGCCTCCACTGGCCTGCATTTAGTGGCTGCCATGCCTTGCTCCTGCAGATGTCCCCGATCTTTGCTTTTGCGTGGTTACAGCTTATACCCTCCTCTTGTTCTCTAGGTGCATCTCTTCCTTTCCACAGCCTCATCTTTATTCTTGCTTTTGTGCTTCATAGCATTTGATTCCTGATACCTAGAAGCTATATCCTGCTCTTCCTTCACCTATGCAGTCCCAACCCCTCCAGTCTGCTTCCATATTTCATTTAGATCACTGTCTTCTGTCTCCTTCCAACATATTCTGTTCAGCTGTTGTATCTAAGCTCTACAGAGCTGCTGGCTCCTCTCAGCCCTGATACATTGGTGTGCCCAGAGTTGTCCTGCACGCTGCCACTGCTTCCCTCGTGTAACTGCTTTGTGCTCTGACCTGGGCCTGGTGCACCCGCTGAACTCTCCTTTGGTACTTACAGAGAATAAGCAGCTTTCAATCCCCCTTGGAGCATGTGGGCATAATACAAGGCGGCAGAAAATTCCCATGACAGATCACTTTCTCAATTTGCTGTGTCCACGTTTACCCCCTGCAGTGCTGCCTGAGAACAGTTTAGGCTGTCCGATGTAATTAGAGCTAGGGAAGAAGAGGAATCCACTGAAAACCCTCTTAGTCCCCTTCCCCAGAGTACCCCTCCTCCTTAGTTGTAGGTTTGTCATGTTTCCTGCATCTTGGATGCTGCCATGAGCAGCACGGTGAACAGAGCTTGACATCAGTTATTTCACTGTATACAAAGCCTTGCATCTAATGGGAGGTGCCTGAGAAATGAAGGCGTGCAGAATAACGGGTGAAGAGAAGGTTGGGAAAAGCCCACTGATGCTGGCCCATCAGCACTGAAACAGCTGAAGAGTGCCGTGCTGACCAGTTTGCAAGGGGGACACAGCCGATCTTTCGGATTGGAGGCTATCTGGATGAATTTCACCTGGGGGCAGCAGAGCACTCAACCAGCTGACCGTTTGCTTTAAGCTGATCTGCAGGAATGAGGTAGTCTGTGTCCTGGGAACACGCAGGGTGTTGTAGCTTGGATCAGTCTATGAGCTGGGGAGGTGGGCTGGCAGTATTACATCATTCTGGGGAAACTCCGTATTTGCTTTCAGCTCTGCTGGCTTGTCCCTGACTGCCAGGTTTCCTGGATTCTGGCAGATCTCGGGGAGCCAGTCTCTCTGCTGCACTGTCCCCGAAAGGATTCAGGATGACCATAGCTGAATACAGCTCCAGTCCTCCTCCACCAAGTGTGACAGCACTTTCAAAATCTGACCCTGCATGTCTTCTGACAGGTAGCTCAGTAGAGAGTGTACTGAAGGGCCGAGGCAGCCTGGTGATCAGAGGAGTCTCCTCTTCAGAGTAACCAGTCACATTTGTCGGTGTTGTCCTGCACACAACTGTGATATACAGGCTTTGGAGTGGATACTGCTTGGGGGGGGGGTTAAGGAAAGCCCAGGAAAGCCAGGGCTGAGTGTGCAGATGACCATGAAGGCAGATGTCTAATCTGCTCATAAAGCAAGGTCTCTCTCTGTGAGCCTCTCCTTTGCTGGGAGAGGATCACAGCTGCTGTTTAGTTTTGCTGTAGCGAGTACAACAGAGTTGGTGGCGTGGTCTCCACAGACTCGTTCGGCGTTGCTTATGTGCTGATGTGAGTCGTGCTTTATCCTTTTGGTGGGGCTGCCTTTTTTTTTTTTTTTTCCCTCCTCGCCCCACACACACCTTCCCAGATCAGCTGAAGGCCTTGTTCCTGTCCTTGAAAGAAACTGTGAAGGCGCAGCGTTACACTCTTGTTGTCGCTTCAGCTGTTCACTTTGTCCCTTGTGATGGTCCTGCCTGTGCTTACGCATTTCTGGAGCCTGGAGAGGATGTGATGCAGTCCACTAAAGCTGGAACTGCCGTGAGCCTGCAAGTGCGTATGTGGTACACACATACTGAGCAGCCAGCAGAGCTAGACATGCCTATATCAGTGCAAACCAAAGGTCTTGGATTTTGAGATGCCAGTGCCCTACAAGTAAAAGCCAGCATGAAGTACGATTGATGGCAAGAATCTGCAGATAGGCGCTAAGCACAGTGTCAAGGCTGGGCAAAAAAGGAGGCAGGATGGATCATCTTGGTTTGGATCTTTCTTTTTTCTGGAGCGGGAGGGGACAACGCTCATAAAACAGCATCAACTCCTGTAATTCTCTTGTGCTCTTACAGGCGGCTCCAGTGAGAATAGTGGCTCTGGTCTCTTTGCCCTCTGTACTCTGGATGGTAAGTCCTACCACTGTCCTGGAAGAAAGGCCCGTGGGGCAGCCAAGGCCTGTCGCTAATTCAAAGCAGGTAACCAGAAGCTCAGTGCTTTTGGTTTTGAAAGAAGAGGGAGATGGACTTCAGAAATGCTTCCTGGGTCAGGCAAGAGAAGTTGACTCAAAGAGCCCTTTTGACATATAATATATGGAGGCATGAAAGCTGAGAGGAGCCAAGGTAAGAGTTGTTGAAAGCTTGAGGTGGAGAGTGAGGCTAGAACTTTCATCTGCTGACTTCAAACAGCTGTTTGAGATGCTGGTTCAACAGTGCCGTTCACATGGACAGGAGCCTCTAAACCATAGCAGGGATGTGTCCTTGTACTTGAAGGGGCTTGGGTTGTTTCCAGAAGCAGTAGAGGAAACGGATGCTGTAACTTGAGTATTGGTAGAGAGGAGCCGGAGCCAGGTTCTGCTGTGTCCCTGACTGAGAAGTGATAGGACAGGCTACATCAGAACTGAATCTCGTGAGCTAAATGCAGGGTTTCTGTCCAAAACCCAACAGTGTGGAGATAAGATGCTGTGCTTCTCTCTTCCCAGTTAGGCAGCCTGCCCTGTTTGGGCCAGATGTCCACCTGCCCAGTTATGCCCTGGTAGAGAATTTCTGATAATTCTCTGGGCCTGAACTCTGAAGCTTCTGCATCTGACAAGGCTTCCTGCCTGGCTGTGGTTCATTCCTAAGCCTTACCAAGGCTGCGGGGCGCTGTGAGGATGGACTTGTATTTATATTCCACTCTTTCACAGCCAGCCTCCCGTCAGTGCTATCACAGTATCTCTGGATGATAGAAAAGTGGTATGTGAGGTCCTGTATGGTTTTAGCAGCCAGGGGCCATGCCCGTGCAATTGGCCAGCCAGCTCTCAGCTGTCAGCATGCTGTCCCGAGATGACGTGATCTGTGGGACGTGGTGAGAGAAGCTTCAAGTTCACTCATGGTCTCGTGTGAGCTCTGTTGATGTACTGTACTTTGGGAGCCGGTTTTGGGCGCTTTTCTTGTCTTTGAGCACAGTCCAATTAGCAGGGCCATTTTTCCTCTCTGTTTCTAGTCACTGATGACAAGATAATGTACTGCTGTCCTTTCCAGACCTGAGACTGTGTTGTCTGTTATCAACCACAGCCTCTACCACGGGCCCAACCCTCTGCCCGTGGACCCTAAGGTCCACGTTGAAGGATTGTGCGGCACGCAGTGTTAGCGAACGCCTTGCTCCCTTTTAATGTTTTCAAGACAATCTTTATTTTTTTCCCTCCTCCCTTCTCCCCCTCTCCCTTCAGGAACACTGAAGCTTATGGAGGGAGCAGACAAGCTGCTCTGGTCTGTGCAGGTTGATCATCAGCTGTTTGCTGTGGAAAAGCTGGATGTTACCGTGAGTGTCTGAATAGGGCTGGGAGGGCTGGAGGCAATAACTCAACATGGCTTTGCATGTATGAATTTAGGAAGGGTGGAGGGAGTGTAACTCAACTGAAAAAGGCTGGGAGTATCTCTGGGTGACATACAGAGGGCTCTGGCTGTGTCTGTGCATTCTGCACTCACATCAGCCTGTCCACCTGCCAGAGGTTGAGCTGTGTCTGCCTGTTTGACTTAGTCCAGCGTGCTGCTATGGACTTTTTCATCCCACAGCTGCTCTTATTGCAGAGCTGAATGGTTTCCCGCACTGCTAATACCCTGATTGTCTACAAGCCCTTAGGATACATAAGGATTACAGTAGAGAAGAGAGATGGACTCCCAGTGCAAAAACACTGGACAAGTGCAAAGAGTCTGGACAAAACGTCCAAAAGTAGTGTTCTGTCTCTGAATAAACAGGAAAAATGCTTGACTGCCTCTGAGAATAGTTGATGTCTCTGTTAATGTGCAATCTTATGGTTCCTGCAGGGCAATGGGCATGAGGAGGTGATTGCCTGTGCATGGGATGGTCAGACGTACATCATCAACCACAATCGGACTGTTGCCAGATTTCAAGCAGATGAGAATGTCAGCGCGTTCTGTGCAGGTGGGGAGCCTGACTGCAAAGCCAGCCCTCACAGCATTTCTCCTTCAGAGCCACTACTCCCTCCATGAGATCTGGAATCCTTTGTCTGCCTGCAGGGGGGTATAATTTCCCTGTGCATATACTGCAGGAGGCCCAGCCAGTCTTTCCTCTGTTGGCATCTGGGAAAAGTAGGGGTGAGAGGAGGTGATGCTAGGTTGGTTTGTAATGGTTTTAGGTTTGGGGTGGGGTTTTTTTTCCCCTGTCCTTTTTGGGAGTGCTATAGTGGTCTCCTGTCTTCCCCACTGCTTTTTTAATTTGCAGACTTCTAAGCTGTTTTTCAAGTGGAAAGGAGCCCCAGTGGAACCAGCCTGAGCCTTGGCTTTGCTCAGTCCCCTCTCTCAGACCTGCAGGAAGCAGCTCACAAATCCCCAAGTTCCAATGATTTAAAGACATTTTATTGGATTGTCTCCCTGTGCCCAAGTCCATGTCTGTGCCCCTAACCCCAGGTGCTTGCTGCTTTCTGCTAACAGCTTTGGTACCTCATCATGAGAAGTTACATATTTGCTTTCTCTGCCCTTTTACAAGTTGTCAGATCTCCACAATTTGCTTTCTGCAGGCCTCTATGCATGTAAAGGAGGAAGCAACAGCCCCTGCCTGGTTTATGTTGGCTTCAATCAGAAGATCTACATCTACTGGGATGTGCAGTTGGAGAGAATGGAGTCCACTAACCTGTTGAAAATCCTGGATTGTGACCCCGAGTTTGGAATTCTCCTGCAGCAGCTGGGTGTGGGTGAGTGTAGAAGGGGTGAAGGATGTACAGGAAAAAAGAGAGGAAGGGCTGCCGGCAGGTAACGTGCTGGGAGCTAGAGTACCAGGTACTCCTTGAGGAAGAGGGGCTTTCATACGGCCTGTTGAGAGTCTGTAACTGTCTTTCCTTCTTCTCTGCAGAAAGAGGCGATGTTTCTGCTGTCAAAGATCTGATTCATAAAACGCTGTATTTTCCTGAGAAACAGCAGCAGAGCAGCTCCTCACAGTGTGACGACCGTGCTGGAACAGACTCCTCTGCCCACTACACTGTCATCCAGGATCCCTTATAACAAGTCACGTGGAAGTCGACATCTTTAATACCAGCACAAACTCTTCTCTGACTGGAATCAGGCATGTGATGAAGATGAGACTCCTCTTTTCCCATCTCTGTCAAAGCTTCCAGACAGCAAGGGGTGTACAGGCTGGCTTCTGTGGAGGGACGTGCTTGGCTGTGGGCTTGAATCTGGTGGTGGGTTGATTTGCTTTTAGTGGAGGAACCTTCCAGAACAGCAAGAGTCCAGGGTCCTGCTCATTGGCTTTCCATTGCCGGTTTCCACGTTCTCCACTACCTACAGTGCTTTATGGGTGACTGTGAAGGAGCACTGAGGGCAGAGATGGAGAGAGCTGAGCTCAGTCTCTGTTTTGGCCTGTTTCTACAATTGCTAGTGATCACTTGTGAGTTCTTAGCAGGATCAGAGTGCAGGAACTGCACATTGAGGAGTCGAGTTAGGAAGCAGGCAAGGGCCTACTCTCCCACTGAGGTGTGTTTTTAAAGTAGCCCCAGGCAACTGAAAGAGGTAGACTGGAGGTGACATTCCACTTGCTGGTATGTGGAGTCTGGAAAAGGCCGTTGCTCACGCAGGCTGCTCATACACAAAGGCCCAGGCAAGAACCTTTCCACATGATGCTGGTGTTAGGTTTTTCACCATCTCAGCTTGCCCCTTGCCTAAATCAGCTTATTAAGACAGGAGCAGCAGGCTCACCACCTGTTGTGCATCTGTTATCTTCTCTCATTGTTTAACTTCTTGTAAACTTCATTGTTTAACTTCATTGTTAAAACTTCTCTCACAGTTTTATTGGATGTGAATAATGGATGGAGCTGTCCCTTCACCCTTACGGCAGTCTGAGAAGGTTGCATCCGAGTTCTGTTGTGCATCTATTATCTCATTGTGTGCAGTTTTATTGGACATGAATAATGGATGAAGCTGTCCCTTCACCCTTATGGCAGTCTGAGAAGGTTGCATCCGAGTCAGAGCAAATGCAATTCGGTGATTCTCTTTAGTGAATGGTAACATTTAAAGGTCCTGGAGGGTGTTGAAAACCTGCTGTACTCTACTCTGCAAAACATCCAAGGGCAATCCTAGCTGGGAGAGAGAAAGAACTTTGAGTAGAGGAGTGTCTTGCCCTTGGGTCAAAAGGACTGTTGTTGTAGTAGTCCTATGGGGTAGAAGGGCAGGAGCTTTCCATAATAAGCCCTAGCTCTTATTCCATCCGTAGATTCATATAAGCCTTATCAAGGACAGCTTCTGTTCTCTGCATTTGGTAGCTGTGAAGGTTGAAGCACGGAGCAGTGAAATGGTATGACCTGCTCTGTACCAGCTTGCTGCTTCTTGCTTCTCAGACCACTCCATCTTCTGACTCGGACTACAGTGGAAGTGTCTCTCCGCTTTAATGACCTCACTGAAGAGCATTTTTAAATGTTCCCCTGTCATACTAAGTGCTTGTGTACAACTGGACCCTTCAGGCAGCAGCTCTCAAGTCCTTTAGTAACAGTGGGGCCTGAGTTTGTCAGCTATGGAGAGCAAATAGCACAGGGACCACCTACTCATGGGCTGAAGCAAGGAGTTGTTTGGAGGCTTGTCAGCTCTGAAGTGTAACCTCAGGCTGTCAGCTCTCACGGTGCCGAGGTGTGCAGCCACCCATCCCGGTGGGCGTTTGCCATTGCTTCTGGCAGATCAGTCAGTGCGACCCCTTGGGGCTCATGGGTCTCACAGTCCTGTTCTGATGAGGAAGAGTCTTGGTGGGGCTGTTAACTAGATCACAGTATATTGGTTTCTTGCTTACTTCTTTCTGTTTCCCAAAACTGCTCTTTCTGATCACCAGAACAAGAAGGGATTCTGCCTTCTCTTCCTTTGGGTGATGCAGTAGCAGTTGCTATTATCTCCTCCCCCTGGGGCCCAGCTCGCGTGGGGAGAAGCAGATGCCCCTACAGGTGGGGTGAACAGTTTGATTTCACTGGATTCTGGGATACTTCCCTGTTGCTACCTGATTTTAATCTTGCACTTCAAAATTAGTGAAACTGGTACAAAGAGGGACCACAGTGGAGCGGGACTCCGCAGAGCAGTGTCCAGAAGCTTACATCAGAAAGGACGTTGTTAAGGTCCCTGAACAGGCCTGTGGCTTTGCATCTGCTGTTCTTCCGTCCTGAACACAGACTGCTGTTCTTCCTCTGCTTAAGGTTTTGTATTTTCTTGTCCTGCTCCTCCCCTCCTCCCTATTTCTGTGGCTTCCCTCTCCCGCGCGGAGGACAGACACTGGATGGTTACAAGCAACAGAAAGGAGTAATGCCTGAGTTTTGGTTGTGGCTTGTACAACCTGGTGCGTGCTGTTGCGCAGGTGATGGGCTGCTATATTGTAATTCCTTCTTGAGGCCTAACAAAAATAGGATTGTCTACGCTTAGAGAACAACTCAGTGCCGTCTGTCCATGCCAAATATAAACCTTTATTAGCAACACAAGCGCAAAGGGGAAACAAATGGTTGTACGACGGAAACTGGTTTATGCGAAACAAACTTTGCTGTACAGGTCAGCTTGATCCACAAGAAACAGGAAAGGGTTCATGAGGGAGACATAATATTTTCCTAGGAACCATCTTGAAAAGAAAATGGGGCCAAAACAATGCAAATGTTGGACAGGGCAACGTGCAACCGCTTCTCCCGTTGGTCTGAGGGTAACACTGCTGTGTGTTGCACAAGCCCAGCGCTGTGGAAAGTAGTGTTGTGAAGATACATACGCTACAGGTCATCAGTCCACCAACCCTCTTCAGCTCTTAGAACCACTGGAGAGGAAAAATAGTAATGTTTGATGATTTCCCCAACAGTTTTATACTGCGCTTAGCGCCTAATAACCTTCAGATGCATTTTGCTCCTGTGCAGAAAGGGAAATGAACTGTCTACAGAAGAATTAATTGGATCTTCTGTACTTTTCCTTGGCCAAAAGATGACTTTCCTTCTTTATTCACGCCTTGAACTCCAAAGTGACAATTAACGTCTTGAAGTCAATGCTTCAGGCTACTTCCCCTGGCAACAATTTTCGGTTCCGTATGGAGCTACTCGGAGCCACGTAGGCTCTGTCTCTGGACTGAGGGAGTTACATTATACTTTCACTGTACCTCATTGCCTGTTGGTCCTTGCCAGCCAACGCAACCCATAGAGTTGGAATCAGAAGTTGTTCCTTCCCACGCAGCAGAAAATGTTGTTGGCTGCATCCTACTCAGTAGCAGATTGGCGTACCCACTGGTGCCAGGAAGCTTTTTGACACAGCAGGATTTGCAAGACATAAATATGTCCCAGTGCCACCACACAGCAAGTGAGGAGTCTTAACAGCGTTCTCAGACACTGGGGGCATTTGCAGATAAATGATTCATGGCTTTGGTTGTGATGCTCAATTTACGAGCAAGAAAATGAAGGAAAGAGCTTGTTTTGTTTTCCTGAGACATAATAAACCTGCTGGATGTCCCTGCCCTTGTTTTTACGTTCTCTTTGCTGAATGCAGTTATTTCTGTAACTCCAGCTCTGTCGTGCCGTTTGCCAGTGGAGTCTTTTGAAAGGAGGACTGACTGCAAACATACAGGTGGCTCATTGATCTTCAGTTCCATAACTTGGCCACCGGTAGTGAAAGAAGGAGCAGGCCTCTCCGACCAAGTGACCCCAAGCTCCTGGAAATGATCCTGATTTTGGCTTCAACAGGGTGCATGTTCTTGGGATAGGTGTGCATTCTACTGGAAAATAGCCCTAGTGGAAGCTGACCACGAAGGCAATTCGGAGAGATTATCCCTAAAATAACAACATTCCATTGTCTATATTGAAGGGATGGGCTTCATCCTGAGGAAGCCAGCACTGGACATACAGATATGCTTGTGTTGTGCTCTGAGGTGGCAGTTTGTACTAAATTTCTACTTTCCATACGAAAGTACTAGCATTTTTTTATTCTCCAGTGTAAAAGACCTTTAGATACCTCCTTCCTTCCCCTTGTCCCTCAGAAGCAATAGAGATGACTGGAGCTGAGGGTAGGGAAGTGTATCTTTATAATAGGCTTTTCCAAAAGAAACTACAATTGAGACAGTCTTCAGCCTTGCTGACCCACTTAAAATTTAATTACTGCGTTCCCTAATGCAGGAAGGCTTAAAAATTACCATGTTTGTAGATGGGGTTGAGTGCGCTTCTTTGAGGTGTCCTAGGTCCTGTTGTATAATCACATCTTTTAAGAAGATTTCTGTCTTTCACAATGGAAGCTGGGATTCCCGTGTAATGACACAAAAATGCTGGTCTGGAGGAAGCATCAGTTTGGGCAAGAATTCAGAATACACGTGTAAAGGTCAGTAACAACGTGCCGTTTAATGCCGAGGAACTCTGGGAGGTGGAAACCCACCAGGAGTTCGGCTTGATGATGAGGAAAGCGGGTACTGACACTGCAAGACTACTCCGTGATTTAGGGAAGGAGTTCAGGTGTGGTGTCAGCGATGGTGATATGACCTGCAGTTCTCATTTAGTCACATAAATGGGTTTTTTCTGTAAGCTCTGCCTGTAACAAGGCTTGAGGAGGAGGTTCCAGGGTAACTGTTGGCAACAGATTCCTCAGTGTCTGGGTGAAAGAGATTTTAACTGTGTGGACCTGCATGTTCAACTGACATGGACAGGAAGAAGCTGAAAGGTGCATTTTCTGCACTGGAGCTGATTTCACAGCTGAAAAGAAGAGCTCTCGCGTGCTGATTTAGCACCTGCTTGGAAACATCCTCTTTGTGACTGACAAGTGGCCCAGTCTACATTTATGCATGCAGTTGTTAACAACTGGGAGGAGAGGCTGGCAAGATAATGGCACATGAAAGAGTATTGGCAACCAGGGATCAGGAAAGTATGAAAAGGATTATCTAAAAAGGAAATAATTCCTCTCCGAAGAGGCAAATTTGTTACTTCCCAGTGTGGAAGAATCAATTTTTTTTGCTCAGGGGAAGGTAAGGAGAATGCAAAGAAGGATTTATTATGCAGAGAAGAGAGGGACAAATAGGGCTG